ATTTCACTATTTCCGAGTCGAACCGGACTCGTCCGAGTAGAACCGGGCGAGTCCGGTTCGACTCGGCGTTTTTTAAAACGCTGTACAAAACCAATAGTATTTTGAAATGTTTACTAACCAACTTCATGGAGCTTACTTTTTCTTTTTTATCTGATTCTTTTTTACTTATTTGTCGAAATTTTGAATCAAATGACCTCTTTTCAGTACCTATCTTATTTTTCCGTTATGCCAGTGGTTTCCATGGCCTGTGGATTGTGAAAGGGCAGATTCCATAATGTAATGGACCTAAAATTAAGCCAAAAGTTAGGGTAACGACAAAAGGTCATGACATTTAGTTAAAGAAAAGCCCGACATTTGTAGGCGTGCATTTTTTTTATTTTTAATATTAAATATTCAAAGTACGTTCCCTTTCTATTTAATTTTATACCCATTTTACTAAAAAGGTACCACCCTTTCTATTTAATTTTATACCCATTTTACTAAAAAGGTTCCACCCTTTCTATTTAATTTTATACCCATTTTACTCAAAAGGTCCTACCCTTTCTATTTAATTTTATACCCATTTTACTCAAAAGGTCCCTAACAATGACCACAGCCGAAAGAATCCTTAAAAAGCTCAAATCAAAATTCAAGGATACTGGAATTTAACCATTTCTAACTAAATTTTTCAGTGAAAAATCGAGGAAAAATGAGGACAATTTATTTTATTTTAGTTTTCTCAATATTTTGGGAACAGTGGAGAAAGTTTATATAAGGCTGACGCTTTAAAAATGTATGATTAAGGTGGACCTCTAAAATCCTGTGAAAAAGGTTGTTATGATGTTGGCAAAACATCTACTTGATCATCTCAGCATCAAGAGGTATAGATATGGAGAAAAAAAGAGATTTCAAATTAAAAAAATAATATCTTGCAACAGGTATTATCTAGGCGATCTATTTTCAATATTTGTATACATTTATAAATTTGTTTGATTTAAACTATTTTTAGAGTTTAAAATTTTATAAATAAAAATAAAAATACATTATTATCGAACCATCCTAAAATAAAAGTCCAAACTATATTAATTTCTCGCAATAGAGGAGGATAAAAATACTAATAAGTTAGATGACTGAAAATTATTAAGGGTATTTTTGTCATTTGTCTTTACCATATTCAGGAGCAAAAAAGTTTATCTAGGCCAACCTGTACCCATCCACAAAAAATCCATCCCTCGACCTTGGCACCTTTAATCTCTCTCTCTAGGATGCTCTCTTTTTCTCTCTCTAACATGCTCTCTCTCTAATATGCGCTCTCTCTCTAACATGATCTCTCTTTTTCTCTCTCTAACATGCTCTCTCTCTCTAATAAGCGCTCTCTCTTTCTAACATGCTCTCTCTCTCTAACATGCTCTCTTTCTCTCTCTAACATGCTTTCTCTCTCTACATGACCCAAAACCCACAAGTCCCCTGTTGCAGTAAAGGACAGGCACTGAAACTAGATGGATTACAGCAGGTTCCCCTGCCATGACATTCAATAATGCCATCAAAGCCCTCATCAGACTTATATAAAGACCCCCTCTCCTTTACTCCCACATTATTCACTGACCAGCAATGGCTCTCTTCTTTTTCTCACTACTATCACTTTTCTTCTCTTCTCTGTTTTGTACCAGTCATGGTATCTCCACAGTCACCCTCAAGCTCTTCCACAACCAAGTGCAGAGCCGCTCATGGGACGACACTCTGTTCGAAATGGCCGAGCTCGATGCCTCCAGAGTGGCCAATCTCTTGGGCCTCAAGGCCAACAAGACGGTGGTGCCAATCGGGTCAGGCCGACAGGCGATAAACACACCCAGCTACGTCGCACGCGTGGGCGTCGGCACCCCGCCTCAAGTCATGACCATGCTGTTGGACACCAGCAACGACGTCCCATGGGTCCCCTGCACGGCCTGCCCCGGTTGCGCCGCCACTGTCTTTCAGCCCACTCTGTCCACCACCTACAAACCATCCGAGTGCGGCTCGCCAAAATGCTCCCTACTTCACAGCCAAACATGCACAACGAGTGGCTCTTGCTCGTTTAACATGACCTATTCTGACTCGTCGTTCGAAGCTGCTCTCAGCCAAGACTCGTTGTCACTAGCAAATGACTCGGTGCCGGGTTACTCGTTTGGGTGCTTGACTAAAGTTTCAGGTCAGTCGCTCCCACCACAGGGCTTATTGGGCCTGGGCCGGGGCTCCATGGGCCTTATGTCCCAGTCAGGGCCTCTATACAAAGGTGTGTTTTCTTACTGCCTTCCTAACTTTAGAGCCCCTGGTTTTACCGGGTCATTAAAACTCGGTCCAGTGGGCCAACCGATTCGCATAAAGTACACGCCTTTGCTCACAAACCCACGCCGGTCCTCTCTCTATTACGTCAAGCTCGGGGCGATTCTTGTCGGGCGAACAAAACTCCCCATTCCGGACTCTGCATTCGCATTCGACCCGGCCACCGGCTCCGGCACGGTGTTTGACTCGGGAACGATGGTGACCCGACTCGTGGCCCCGGCCTACGAGGCCTTGAAGGCCGAGTTCAGGAAGAGGATTAATAAAACGGTGACAACGCTGGGAGGGTTCGACACCTGTTATAACGAGGCAATCGTTGTTCCCCACATAACCTTCCAATTTGAAGGGATGAATATGACGCTAGCGGATGATAACGTCGTTATAAAGAGCAGTGCGGGGACCATAACGTGCCTGGCCATGGCGGAAGCGCCTGCAAATGTGAATGCGGTGGTGAACGTGATTGCCAATTTTCAGCAGCAAAATCACAGGGTTGTGTATGATGTGGCCAATGGGAGGTTGGGCGTGTCTCGTGAGTTTTGCTCTTAACGATTCTCTCTCTTCATGATTTTGTTTTTTCTCTCTCGTGGGTTGTGTATTGATCGTTGGTTTTCTGTTCTCTTTCTCGCACTTGATGTGTATGGTCATTGGGGTAACGCGTGAGTTGTGCACTGTAGCTTCAGACAAGACCCTCGCTCATTTACTTGTTGTGTATCATTCTCTATCTTCTCTTCCCTTCCCTTCTCTCTCTCATCCCGTGAGGGCGTACCAAAAAGGGCCATCCCATCCCGTGAGGGCGTACCAAAAAGGTTAGGTTCTAGACAAGATGGCTTGCTATTCATCTATTCGGATTGTCGCTTAGGATGTATTACAAAATTTGATAATTCAGTTTATTACAAAATTTCAAATCTTGTATCTCAGGGTTTATAACAAAATTTGATATATTTTATTTCTTAAAGTAATGTTTAAAACCTAGATTAGCGGCCTGGATCGCTCACCCTCAGATTGTGGATAAGTGCTTCAGATCGGGTCTGAATTGATTTCAATAAGTGTTCCAAAAAATATTAAAAAATAAATACAACAAAATAAAATTTAAATAGGAGTGGGATTTAAAAAAGATCTAAAAAAATATTAGATAAATTTCAAAAGAAAAATAAAAAAATATTCATCTAAATGTTAAAAAAACTCAAATTTTAAATTTTTTCTTTTAAAAATAATTTTTTTATGATTGATTCCTAAATTTTTATGACTCATATTACCCCGGATGCGAATCAATCCCCTGAGTCCCATCCAAATAAAAAATTGCCGGGTTTTAAAAGAATGATTTAAACCCAATCAATATCACACCCTGAGCGCCTGAGTTTATATTTAACGGAACGGTGACGGTGACTTCATCAAAAGTAAACTGTCTTTTTCTTTTTACAAAACATCTCTTCTTTCAGAAAGAATCCCGCTTTTCAGCACGGCTTTTATCTTCTCTCGTTCCTCGACATTTTCTATATCATTGTATGAACTAGGTGTGGCAACGGGTTGACTCGTAGTCGGGGTTGTCTGGACCTGACCAGGACCCGGACCCGGACCCAGAATCATATTTGAAAAGGTATAATGGTATCTGGACTTGGACCTGACCGGACCCAAAGTCAATAAACCCAGACCCCGACCCAAAAATACAATGTACGACCTGGTTCCCACCCAAAAATTAAAATATTTATGTATTTAAATATATTTAACTCCTATTCATAAATTAGGAATAAAAAATATGTGGGGCCTGTATCAGATCTAGACCCGAATGGTATTTGGGTTCATGATTTGGACTCGGACACAACCCGTCAGGTCTATTTTTTGTACCCATACCTGGACCCAGGTCAGGTTTACCTATCGGGTCCGGTCCATTGCCATGCCAAATTGTATCTTATTTTGGGTTATTTAGCAATGCACCGTGCTTATTGTTTATTTAGGAAACTTCTTTTTTAAATTTGGAACATAAAGCGCAAGTGAATTTTACCACTCTTTTTTTTAGTATTTCAATGAAGATAGGATCCCCTACCCGTGATAAGAGTGGAACATAATTTTATCATCATTGATAGCAGATATAGAGCATCTTCCACTATTATAAAGCACAGCAAGAATTCCCTTCCATTGCCTCCTCGCTCTCAATAAGAAACCAAGTTTAGGGATTTGGAGTTTCTAAGGAAAGCATGATATGCTTGTCAATAATCGACAAATCCTATAACATAATAACTATTATGTTAACCCTAGCTAAAAGGCTCTAGCTCCAGTAAGTAGGCCTTCCAAAAAAAAATGTATCTCAGATATGGATTTTGGGATTAAAATTTCACATAACCACGAGTAAGCTTAGCCACCACGATCATGCATCGAAAAAAATAAAATTTAAACTTATAAAATATCATTTTAAAATAAATCAAAATAAGCAATCCATCAAGGATAAAATAAAGCATAAAATCTTTTATGCAATTTAATATTTAATTTTTAGACTAATAACCATTTGTGGTCACAACATTGGTGTCATGTAAATCCAAATCCGATTGTGGAAGGAGACCTCACCAAAACCCCATCTAGTGCAATTAAAACATAAGTTGCATGGAGTTCTAAAATCCATGAAATATCTTTCTTTTAAAAATTAAAACAATATAATACCATAGCATTTTGTGGTTCGAATTTTGGAAAGGTTTTCTTACTTTTTTGTTGTTTTTTTGGGTAGATCAGTGGGGAATACATACCCTTACTCATTTTTAGAAATAATTAATGGTTTTCGAATGCATTAATGGGAATGGAAACCTAGACTAGAAACTAAGGCTTTGGTGGTACTACCACCATAACCTCAACCCGATTCCCAAGTTTTCTAACTTCACCACATTGTACAAAGCAGTGATTTCAAAAACGGATAGGTGATTAGGATAGGAAATCGCAAAAACCAATCTAAATCGATGAATCGGCGGTTCATATGATTGTTTTACTGTACAAAAAAAATAGTGAACTAGCACAATAATACATGCAAAAACAATGAACTGATCAAAAACCAGTTCAGATCGGTAAATTATTATGTTTACTACAGCAAAATAATGTTTTACTACGTTCTCTTCCAGACACGAACAATTTTCTATAGATTGCCATAATAGACATGGATGACCAGTGATCGATTCCCACGTCGGACAGGCAATTCTACTGAAGATAAGAAGATACCAAGTCAAAGTTATTTGGTCAAGTTAGTTTAGTAATAAGGTCTCCTACTATTTACTTTTATTTCCAAGAATCATACCATATTTTCAAGAATTATACCATATTTATCTCCCGTAATTGTGTGATTGTCCTCTATATATAGAAGTACTTATTAATGTAAACATTCATCCAAAATAGTGAAGACATAAGGATTTAGCCTGAATCACGTAAATGTTGTGTTCTCCCTTCTTCTCTCTCCAAAGCCTGAACCATGTAAATGTTTTGTTCTCTCTTCTTCTCTCTCCATTCTAGATTTTAACATGGTATAAGAGCAACAAGATCTTGACCTATTTTAATAAGGTATCAGAGCAGCGAGATCTTGACCTTGAATATCGAGAGAACCTCCAATCCATACAAAGAGAGAGAGAGAGAGGTCATGACTGAAGTCACACCACCGGAAGTGAAGATCTTCTCTCCAATCCGTACAAACAGAGAGAGAGAGGCCACCATTGAAAGTCACACCACCAGAAGTGAAGATCTTCTCTCGTTCTCTTCTCACGGTCCACAAATCTCTTTCTTTTCTATGAAATTTTTATTAACATTTATCTGAAATTAGGGTTTTTTCTCACGTTCTCATCTCACGGTGCACAAATCTCTTTCTTCTTTATGAAAATTTTATTAACATTTATTTGAAATTAGGGTTTTAATGGTATATTTGTGGAAAGTCTTGGGGTTTTCTCTCTCTTTAGCATTCTCGAGGAAAGAGAGAGAGAGTGCGAGTGTTTTGGACTCTTTTTTTTTTAAGATGTGAGCTATTGTCTAGAAGTCAGTTCTTGCCGGTATGTATTCACGCATTATTTTTCAGTTGTCTCGCGTGTGTTTTGCTTCTAGAGCCTCGTCATCAGTTGTCTTGCTTGTTTTTTGCTCCTAGTGCTAGTAGAGACTTAGTCACACCATTAGGATTTTTCAACGAGAAGTTTTTATCAATCTCAGTAGCCGTCTTTGTTGTGCCTTTGAAGCACTTTAAGTGGTTTTTAGACCAAGTATGGTGATCACGTGTCTCGGATCAAATCTCGCACTATTCAACTATTCAACTATTCAAGCTCTCACGCTAGTGAGAGCAGTACAAGTTTTTGGCAAATTTTTTGGTTTTCAGACTCCAGTTCTAGCAGTTTGACAAGTTGGCTATTCAAGTATGCTAGTGAGAGCAGTACAAGTTTTTTTTGGCAATTTCCAGACACCAGTTCCCGCAGTTTGGCATTTTTAGAAGTTCTTTTTTGGCAATTTCCAGACACCAGTTCCCGCAGTTTGGCAATTTTACAAGTTTTTTTTTGGCAATTTCCGGACTTCAGTTTCGGCAGTTTGCAGTTTGGTAATTTTACAAGTTTTTTTTGACAATTTTTTTTGGTTTCCAAACTCCGGCAGTTGGCTAAGTTTGGCAAGTTGGGCACTTAGCGGCAAATTTTAAGCAATTAGCGACAGTTCGCTTGAGATCTCCATGCAGGGAGTTTTGAAAGTAAGAAGATAAAGTCAAAGTTACTTTATCATCAAATTAACGTAAAGCTTGGACATGAACTACATAAATATTATATTTTTTCTTTTGTTTGGACATGAACTACATAAATATTATGTTTTCTCTTTTCTCTCTCCTCCATTCTAGATTCTTCGGGCTTTATTCTAGATTTTAACAAACTTCATACCGACCCAATATTTTTTAAATCACGGGTACAAAAGAATAACGCTTAGCCTTATCCTTGATACTAAAAAAAGGCTTTTAGCCTTGACTGTCTTGATTGTTTGTGCTTTTGGTCCAATATTTACGCTCTTTTGAGCGCAATCGTCGAGGCCGCATTATCATGCTTATGTAGCCCAACAATTACGTGGTCACGACAGACGCTTGCCATAAAGCATTTTTTTCTGAAAATCTTTCATTCGCAAGCAGTTCTACCAATTGCGAAGTGATTTCCCCACCTTAAAATCTTAGATCTCATTATTCCTCGAATAGATATAGTCATTATATTTTTTAAGGGCAATTGATTAGGAATATTTTTTGGACTCCTTAAATCTTTTTTTAGAGCTCGGATAGGAAAAAGAAAATCTTCCATCCACTTTGACCAAAGCAAATTTTTTTTTTTTATAATTATTAAACTTATTTTAATTTTTTTTTATCAAAATACAATTTTGATATACCAACATCAAGTGCTAACCACTGAAGCCCAAGCCCAAGCCCAAGCCCAAGCCCAAGCTCTGACCAACATAGATTAATAAAACAGTACCTATTTTCACAATAGTAAGGGCACGTTTGAATGCCCCTCAAAAATGGATCAACGTTATTGGGTCACATTTCAATTTGTGGCCAATTTGTCGCTATTCTTTTTTTTTTTATTTTGATGGGAAACTATATATATATTTGTTATAGTTTCCGTTATTACGGCTCTATCCAATAGTTTTCATTATTATCATCGTGTTTGTTTTTTTCATGTCAAAACGGAAATTAAAAAAAAAACTGCTTTACCGTTTTTTGGTTGTTGAACAACCGAATTC